GTATAGGGTACTTATTCTTAACCGTTACCTTGTTTAGTGCTCGGTAATCGATACACATGCGTAGCGAGCCGTCTTTCTTCTTTTGGAAGAGGACGGGAGCACCATAAGGGGCCTTTGAGGGCTGAATGTAGCCAGCGTCTAGAAGATCCTCGAGTTGCTTCTTAAGTTCGGCTAGGTCCGTCAAGAACTACACGTACCTCCCGTGGTAAGGGTGGTTGGTCCGAGGAGCTCGAGTCGTTGAGGTCTCGGATCGTGGCCAAGTAACAATCCGAGCTCTTCACTCCCCTTTTGAATTGCATAGCCGAGATAGAGGGGAGGCTCGTAGGGGACTCGCGAAGTTGGACCACAGTAGGTTTCTCCCTGTCAAAAATCACAAGGGAAGAAGTAGCCTTAGGGATAAAGGTACTTACCGACCGGAAGAAGGTGAGTCCAAGGACGAGTTTGAAGTCGTCCATCGGTAGGACAGTGAAATCGGTCTTCCCGATCCAGTCTCCTATTTGGATCCGGACATCCTTGGCTACACCGACAGCTGCTAGGGCTGGAGAGTTCACCGCCTTCACGGTCCCTCCACTTCCTTCTACTCGGAGTTTGAGTCTCTTGGCTTCACCTACATCCAAAAAGTTATGGGATGCTCCCGTATCAAACATTGCGGGAACGATCTTACCATAGACATCAATGTCCGCGTAGAGAAGTCCTTGTCTTGGGGTCTCGGATGTCTCCTCCTTCTCGGTTTGAGGTGGTTGTGAGAGGGCCCCGAAGCGTAACATGGAGCCAACACTAGCTTGGTCCTTGTCCGTGACCTTGCCTTTGCCTTTCTCTTTCCCCTTCTCGGGTTGAGTCTCCATGGCATTCATCTTGGCTCTCTTCGGGCATTCTCTCACCCAATGTGGACCCCCACATAGGTAGCAGGGGTTCGGTGGCTTGGAGCGATCCCTAGATTGGCCATGACTTTGTGAGTGGTTTGGTTTGTGAGGTCGGGACTGTTCTCGGTTTTGGAACGAGGGTCGAGGCCTGTTCCCTTCCTTGGGCCGAGGCTGCTGGCTGGGACGGCTCGAGTAGTCCGGTAAACCTTCCACAATAGTGATGGCCTCGTCTAGGGTCTGTGCATTCCTCCTGTTAACTTCAAGACGAGCAAACTCCTTCAATCCGTCTTTAAAATGAAATAGCGCATCACGGTCGGATAAATCATTAAGCTCAAGACATAATGAAGAGAATTCACGAATGTAATCTACTATACTCCCTGTTTGTCGAAGTCTTCGGAACCTAGTCCGAGCTTCTTCACCGGCATTGGTGGGGACGAAGTGACGCCTTAACTCGGCTTTGAATTGCGCCCAAGTGTTGATTTGGCGTTCTCCTCGCTCTTGGTCAGCTAGAACCCGTCTCCACCATAGTAGGGCCAAGTCCCTAAAGTAGGTGGGAGCATGAGTGATTCGGGAGTGGTCATCTCTAACCCCATAGGAGTTAAAGTACTGCTCAATCCCGAAGATGAAAGACTCCACCGTTTGTGCATTCCGAGTCCCATTGAAGAGGGGAGGCTCGGGTGCTTTGAGGATGGGATGGTGAGGTGCTTGGGCAGGCCCGGCTTGAGCGGTGTTCCTATGTGTCCTGCACTCGAGTTTTAACTCGTTAATTAAAGCACGTAAATCAGTTACCTCACGCTCATGCGTCTCCTGCACGAGCCGGAATCTGTCCTCGGTCATGTCTCGCTCTATCCGGTGTTGTCGGGCCAAGTCCTCGAGCATCTCCTTGGTGTTCCCACCTATTGCGGAGATCTCTTGTTCCAGGTCGTCCACACGTCCGTCCAGATCTTCAACAAGCCTCAGACGTTCATCGAGGTTCTCAAGCGTAAGTGGTGCTTGAGGGGCGTCCGCGGCTGCGTTCGCCAAGGCCTGGGCTCGGGATCTCGTCATGCGGGGTTCCTCAACCCCCCGAGCTCCAGGGACGTGTCCCTCTGATTGGGAATCAGCGGAAGTGACGTCGGTGTTGGGGTTTGTCCCGTTGCGTGCCATATTTCTTCTCGGATCTCTCGGTAGAATGCGGAAGCGTTAAGGATCGAGACCTAGTTCGTTTGAAAGCGAACCAGGCTCTGATACCACAATGTCACGGGCCTAGAACTGAGCTAGGATAGTCCGTGCGGCAGTCGAGCCAAAGGGACAAAAGGGGGAAGCCTCGGACGTGCAAGGGACGAGAGAGGGTTCCAAGGACTCGACTAAGCCTTCTCTGAACCGAAGTGGTCCGAGAGATTGCGGATGGTTGGGTTTGAAAGGACGGAGAGGTCCGAGAGATTGAGGACAAGAAAGGCCGACGGTACGGCCGGGGTATCTTATTAATAATTCGGAAAAGAACAAGGGGAGCGTGGCCTTGGTACAAGGAGGGACAACCACCGAGGTTTGTAAGCCGGCGGCGAGTTGGCCCGAGAAAGGAACAAGGCGGCGCTGTAAAAGAAGCTTTCGGGACTTAGGTTGAATTTGGGGATTTGAGAGATAACCCCCCCTTTCGGCCGGCCATGTGCTTTTATTAGGGATTTGGCCTAATAACCGAAAAGGAAAGTTTACATTTCCCTTCCCATATCCTTCCTTTTATCCGTACTTGCCTTATGCATGAAATAGAAAGATCTAGGACTTGCCTAATATTACAATGGACACTTAGACCTACCTAAATGGGCCTTGGACCAAGAGAAAACCACAAGAAGGGCCCGCGGGCACGTCCATGAACTGGTCATGGACCATGGCCGCGGCCCCTTGGTAGTTCTTGGCCTTTGGCAGTCTTCGGTCTTGGTCTGGGCATGGACGCGAGTTGGGCCGACGTGGAGGCGAGCAGGGAAGGTCCAGGAGTCGAGGTCAGGTGGTCCGAGGAGCGTCCAGGGTCGTTGGCCTGAGGTGTCCCGAAGCAGAGTTTCTCGGGCGTTGTCTCTCGGCTGTGCGGGGTTTCCTGGACGAGTGCGATAGCGAGTCTCGGACAGGTCCGTGTTCTTCCGGGCTGGTGCGGAGTTTCCCGAACGCGTGCGATAGTTACTCCCGAGCCGGTGCGAGGTTCTTCGGACATGTGCGGTCGTCCTTGGTTCCTCGTTCAGCCGTGAGTGTACCTACACGAACGGATGAACACGAAAAGAAAAAGAAAAGGGCTAAGGGTGAAAAATTACCCATTTTTCCTGACATGCGCCCCCACTCGAACTCGGGACGTCCTCGTCACGTCCATGGTCCTTGTAGCTTAGGTGTGGGTGGCATCGTATTCACGGATCATGTCCGCGAATTGCCACAAGTCATCCTCGTGCTCCCATGTGTTTTGGGAGTCGGGTAAGCCCCTCCACTTGATGAAGTATTCTTGGTGCTTGGCCCCTCTCTTGTTGATAGGTCGACGGTCAAGAATGATTTCGGCCTCTTTTGTGAATTGGGCCGTGGATGGAATGGGTGCTCTTGTGGACCTGT